AAATGCAAATCAGAGGAAAAAGGTTCCAAATGATTTTCAATTAATCATGGCTGTGTCGCTGATGATGCAAATACTAAGATTTTATTTAAAATATATATTAATATTATATATTTAAATAAAATAATATTTCTTTTCTCTTTTGAGACAACTTGGGGAATGTCAGATTTTTTCAAATTTTTCTTGACGTTTCATATTTAAAAAATTCTGCAATATTTTTAGTTTAAATTGAGTTCCATATTTTTCTTAATTTTTTAAATTTTACACAATACGCATATTCATTCAATATAGTATTTTTTAAGAATAAATCTGTTTTTTAAATTTGTCGATTTATATATCTAGCAATGAGGAAAATTACAAAAGTGAGGAAATTTATTAGGATATTCATAAATTTTATTGGACAACCTTTGCTTATTTTTATAATTTTCAAGTTTATAATTTTAAGATATACAAATTGATCCCGAGATTCGAGACAGTGATCGATCAATCGCAGTAATTCCCTCGATTTAACCTAACGAAAGTGACACCTTAGCTGACCTTAGCGTTTGGCACATAAGAGAGAACTTTGAAAGGAGATGAAAATAATATTCAATTCTGTGAAGAAGATTATCTAAATTAGAAAGTAAAAGCGATACAAGAATGATGGAATGATTTCTAGACGTTATATAACCTCAAAGAAGGATTGAAGGCACATACAAAATTTACTTAAAAAAAAAGTCTTGATGTAAACGTGAGCTCAGTGTTATCAGAGTCCGATTGGAATCTGCCAAGTGGCAATTAGTGGCGATTTTGTCATTCGCAGAATCGCACAGATTGTAAACCAAATGGAACTCGCAGCTTCTAGCCTCGTGTTCTTGATGTTCTGGAGCGATTCGTTCCCACATTCGACGTAGCTGACAGCTGTTGCGTCAGTATATACGTCGATCGACTAATGGGGAACGAAAAGAGTGCTCTTCGCGGTCTCGAAATCGAAGACAAGGCCGTCGAGGTGACGGACTATTGGATGCACTACGATGCTTATGTCCACGACTCGAGCCTGCAGAGACTCTCCATCTTCATCAGCGAACCATCCTTGCACTTCGCAGCGACGTTTGGGAGACCGTCACCGTTGGAGCGAGCAGCAAAGGTTGACATCGGTTGACGTCTATTCTGACCCTTTCATTTTTAAATATTCCTTTAAGTTGAGCATATATAAGATGTTTTCCAGCAATGGATACAGTTGACACAGGATGTTTTTCAGCAAGGATACAGTGTAACACAGCGAATCATTACATCCTTGTTGTTTGCCAATGTTAGGAAAGATAAAATGCTTCACTGTATAGGTGTTTTCCAATAAGATACAGATAACACAATGTAACATAGTAAATCATTTCATCCATGTTTAACATTGGCAAGTAATAAGAATGATAGCCTAGGTCCACAACCTTACTTTAAGAAACCTTAAATCATAAGTCGAAAGAGATTAAGTAACAATAATTTCTGTCTTTAAACTGTTTTTACGCAGTCTTTAGGCTTTAACTGTTAGACTTAAGCGAATTGAGCAAAACCTAATTTTTACGGTCTAAAAGCATAAGTTCTGTGGCCGATATCATCACTTACAACTTAAAGCAAGGTTGTGGACCTAGTCTAATGATTTGTGTTACACTGTGTCTTTAATAGAATGTAATGATTTATGTTACACTGTGTCTTTAATAGAAAACACCTATAAGTCAAGGATGCTTTTGATGATACAGAGTATACTTTCTAGCAAAAGACATAGATGACACAGTGTAATACAATATAAATCATTATATCTTTATTGTTTGCCGATGTTAAAGGAGGCTGAAATGATACACTGTGTTATCTGTGTCTTGCTAAAAAACACCTATAGAATATTTTTTGAACTATTTGGGAGCTTTCTAGCAGGAGACATATCTCAACAGAAGTTGTTCTGTTTTTATTCAATATTTAGTGAGAGAAAAAGACAGAATGACTTTTTTATTTATTTGTATTTCTTGTTGGAAAGCTCTCTTTATCTTGATAAGTCTGGAAATAAGAACGCTTTGAAATCGTATGATTTTTTTTTATACTATTATACATTATGGATTATATAACATATACATGTATTGTATTACAAAAATAAAATCATAAGAAATAAGTGGATTTAATGTATGTTTTAGAATTTTATGTTACATCGGCATCCTTGTATCCTGAAATATATTTCTTCATGGAGCAAAGGTAGCAAATTCTTTCTTGCCACGGAAGAGGCGAAACCATTGGTCCAAGTAATCGAAAAGCAGAATATACTGCAAATATGTATCGGTTTGCACAGTATCCTACGAGCCTTAATATTTCTGCATGAAACTGCGCTGGCATCACATAATAATGTATGCAGTAGCTCTATTTACGTCACCGCAGAGGGATATTGGAAATTGGGTGGATTGGAATGCTTGTGTAAATTCACAGATGCAACGCCAATGTATTACCAACGAATAAAGAATTACAGATACGAGAAAGCGATATCGTCGAATGAAGATATAGCTGATTTAGTTAAAACTGCTAATCTCACTGCAATTGATTCGTACGCATTTGGAGTATTAGCAGAAGACATTTTGAAGAATTTACAAGATACAGGTATATAAAAATCAAAAGTCATATTATATAAATATTGTCCTTGTTAAATATGTGCTAAAATACATTAAATTTCGACTGATTTCAGATGAAGCACCAAACTTGCTGGAATTTAGTGAATTTTGTAAAAAGAATCTGCAAAATTCAGATGCATATTTGAGAAATAGATTATTGAATGTGCTGCAGCATTCATTTTTCACTCACGAATTTATAAGGATACATGCATTTTTGGAGGAATTACCATTAAAAACTGACGTTGAAAGGGAAGAGTTTTTCACGTAAGCAACTTCAGAGAAAATATGTTAATTTATTAAATAATATGCAACATAAAAGTCGTATATAGAAAATTGTAACTTTTTAAGGAAATTAAGGCAGCAACTACAGATGTATCCTGAGGCTGTTGTTGCTGAACAACTAGGCAGAGTGCTTCTTTCCAGGATAGTTTTATTGGATAGCACTGCCCAAGTAAAGCTTTTACCTTTTATCTTTAAACCCAAAGGTTAGGATATATTTATCGCATCTAGCATGATAAGTTATCTTTATTATAAAGTTATTTGATACATATTAATATCTCTGTTTCACGTAATAACCTAATAAAATGCTTAATGTTTCTTGCAGATGAGAAAAACGATTTGGGGACTAGTCTATTTACAATTCCTACTTTTAAGACTATCTTAGTACCAAGACTTCTACAAATGTTTTGCATTCGAGATGTTTCTATTCGTCTGCTGCTGCTGTCCCATTTCAGTTCGTTCGTTCATGTATTTGAAGCGGACGAATTGAAAAATCACATTCTTCCCGAATTACTCGTTGGAATAAAAGACACCAACGACGATCTCGTCTGCGCCACGTTAAGGGCACTGGCTGACATAGTGCCAATTTTGGGCGCGGCGGCGGTTATCGGTGGAAACAGAGGAAAATTATTTACGGACGGTCGGCCGAATAAGAAAATGATTCGCAACAAAAATCTCGATGATATTAGGAAAGCTTTAACATTCACTCAAGAGATGCCCGTCTTCGTGAATGTAGACGAGAACAACGTTCATTTAGCGGAAAGACCATCGCCAGACGGTGGCGAGGATAAGAAGGAAAAGGAATTTTCGTTCGCCGAGGAGGAATACACCTGGTCTGATTGGGAAACGCAAGAACCAGTTGGGAATGGTCATTGTGATGTAGAAGAAGCTCTCTCGGATAATGTGCAAGCAGAAACCCAAGGTCCTTGCAACACGGACTCATCCTCGCCCTTGCCTGACTTACCGTCGAGCTCTGAAAAATTAAAGTATACGAAGAAATTAGTACTTAACGATATTACCGAGCTCGACATAAAAAATTCGAAGGTAATAAAATCTCCGAAGGAAGAATTCGACTTCTTCACCGATATGGAGCCTGTGATACAGAAGACGCAGATTTTACACGTCCCGGAAGTGCAATCGCCGAAGAGCATGTTCGACGTGAAGACGTCGGGTGCCACTTTGGAAGAACATGATGTTAATGGTTGGGGGGAAGACTTGAGTGACTTGAGTATAGATGATACATACGAACTGGCGAAATAGTAAGCGCGATAAAGAGAAATTATTTGAATAAAGAAGCGAACGAGCTTGTACGACAAATGATATTCTCCTATATAATTGTATCCATTTTTATTAACGTCCAATATATGTGATTGCAATACCATTATCCAAATAAGTATTTTTAATAAATATAAAATATATATGAGATAGGCTAAAAATATACAATGTTTTTCTCGTGTAAGTTTTTTTTATTAAACCATAGAGAAATATTGTTTAGGGTACGCACATTTATCGAGCAGACATTCCACTGGTTAATTCTATGAGAATATTCGTTGCAATCATGGATCTTTTTATGTAATTAATAGATACATATTTAAGAGTTCTATGCCTACTTCTGCTAATATAGATTAACTTTAATCTCACTTTAACTTACTTTTCCTTTAAAGTAAGTTAAAGAAAAAGATAAAATATGAATTAAACCGACGTTAAAGTTAATTTACATTGATAGAAATCATAGGTTTTCTTTTTACCATAGATTGAAACAGAAAAAGCTTTTTACAATAATAAGCTATTAATAATAAATCAGAAAGAAGCTAGAAATTGATCAACCACAGTCGAATGTGAAAAGAATAATCGCCTATGGTTGAACAATTTCTAACTTCTGATTTATTACTAATGACTTATTGTAAAAAGCTTTTTAGCAACGTAATCTGTCAAGAATATCATATGTTTGCAACATCAAGGTACTTTTTCATACATTTAAATTAATGATAAGGTCATGACTGACAATTCACCAATGACAATTCAGTGGCTGAATTGTCATTGGTGAAATGTCAGTCACGTGATCTTTTTATCGCTTAACGATGGCGATGAGTCATGTATGAAAAGGTACTTTTATATTCCGGAGTCGGACTTATTTCGAAGTCCGGCTGTCCACCATGGACTCCGACTGTTCGGATTTATTCAAATCGTTGATCGTTCACGATTAGGCCCGTTAGAAGGTTAGAGCGATTTCAATCGTAGCTAGAAGGAATCTGCGTTCGCATAATGCGGGATGACGATGCAGACCGAGTGCTGGACGCGGAGCAGTGGCGGCTGGAAGTCCAGGCGGTAATCAACGATGTGAAAAAGCATGTGCAGGACTTAAGGGTGTCCGAGCAGCTGACCAGCACGAACCAGGTCATCTACCTCAACCTAATCACGCTGGAGGGTCTACGATTTTGCGTGGAACTATCGGCCGCCGGCTTTGCCATCGTCGGCAATCGGCACGACGACACATCGAACGCGAGCAACGAGCGTTTTGAGACGCCCTATAGCCTCCTGAATTTCGTCAGTCCGCAATACAGGAATTCCTTCGGAAACGCACTGTTAGATAAACTGAAGGAACTGAGCGATAAACAGTAGATCTCGAGAGATAACAGAAAAAAAGCAATCATTGCTTTTTAGGTTGTTGTTTAGGTTAAGAGTTAGGTTAGGTTAAGTGCGTTTGATCTTCCAGTGAGCTCTATAATGTACTGGAGCATGTTCCTTTATTTTTTCTTGTTACGCCCAGAATTTTGGCTGCGTTTTCTTTATATTAAATTATCGAAAACTGTAGTTCGACGATCGAGAAGAAAGGCAAAGAAATACTTGTCTTTTTTACTTTTTTCTGCGAATAGTATTAGCCAATCAGCAGTCTCTGACAAAGAAAACAGTATAATCTTTTATTATCAGAGTGTCATTGTTTAAGAATTGGGACACCCACGCTCCTCAATGGTATGCTCCAGTATATTATAGAATTCACTGAATCCTCCAGTGCTGACGTAGGTCTGTTAAACTCAATTATAAATCTCTTTGTAAAAAAAACGTCAAACAATTTAATTTTCTTTATGCCATGTCTGCAAATTTGGATTATTCGTATTAAAGTTTATTTATTTAATATTCATTTTTTAAATGTAATTTTAGTCCTTTTTCAAATTAATTGATGCTTTATTTAATTAAGAATCTTTTTTATCTTCAGTTTAATTTATGCACGTTTTTATCAATGTAGATTAACTTCAATTTCGGTTCAATTTGCTTTTCTCATCTTTTTTTTAATTCTTAGAATTAGAAAAACAGAATTATAGCGACGATTGTCTCACTCCGCCTATTTTTACATTGGATTGTAATCTCGTTCTGTGAGAGATTCTGTGAATATTGTGAAATGACAGAAGGTTTATATTTTATTCCTGCCCTAGACTTGAACTAGAACTCTTCTTGCTTTTATCAAATTTCAAACATATCTATTTCACTTTAAGTACAAAAAGTGTATACTTAATTCATCTATAAAAAAACAGATCTATATATTTATAGAAAGAAAATGAGACTGGAGTTTTTGAAAATACATTGCCTGATTTACTGGAAAATTTGACTTGTGCCACCTTTACCCAAACTTCTGAAATAACTCCTGAAACTTTATAGAATTCTAATCTCTTTGCCCATTACGTTTTTCCAATTTCATTTTTTTTATTATGAATCAATTTTACAATAAATTTATCATAAATTAATTTTATTAAAGTCAAGCTTTCAGTTGCGAAACATATCACAGATTATGAAGTTTTTGCTTCATTCACATGTTTGTTCTTAAATTTATCTTTTACGTTTTCTAATTATTTCTAGCAAATATATTTGTCGTATCCTTGCGCTTTTATTCCGCATTTATAAGAATCTAGAAAGCTGCGGACACTTTCGGGACTGAATTTAAAATCTTTAAATTTCGCGACGACATTGATTCATCGTTCCTGGAAAGCGAGTAGGACATTCTCTTATCGTCTTCCGTAAAGCGATTTTCTAACGCTTTCGGTCTAATCAATGACTTCACAGACGCAAAATGACGCATACGTCTTATCATATTGTGCGTTGTTCCAGCGCAATTGCGACGCAACAGCTTTATTAATACTCTCGTGGGCGATGAGGAAATGAGGAAATAATGTTATTGAGAATTAAGCTAGAACAATTACGATGCAATTCGATCGACTAGCAAAAATATCAGCTGTAGTGGTGAAAGATAAATGCTAAAATTTTGCATTCGAACGATTTCGCTTGCATTTCAAACGGGTCTTAATTATGTCAAGTTTATCGTTTGCATTTTACAAGACAATTCTGTAATTCAAATTTCGCTTTCAACTCGTTCCGCATTCGTCACTTTAGATGGTTTATTTTTTAGGGTTGAAGGATCGATATAATTACTGGGCGACATAGTTACTCGAAGCGACTTTTGAAAGTATTGAGAATACCGTTTGAATATGAATTTAATTCGTGTAAAGATGTAGGTGAGAGTCTCAACAACTTTTGTAAAACAGGACATCTTTATTTCTTGCAATTCTATGTAAAGCTCATTGCTATCGTTATTATTGTGCTTTTCAGCAAAAGACACACTAAAAAAGATTATTTATTTGACTAAATTAATTTAGTTGTCTTTATTTCTTTTATTGGAGAATATATGTATTTAAATCAAACATAATTTAGTCAAATGAATAATTCTTTTCTCAGTGCAGTGTAACACAATAATCATTTCATCTTTGTTTAATTGACAAACAACAAGGATGTAATGGTTCACTGTCTTTTGTTAGGAAAGCAGTCTACATTTTTCGTTCAAATTGTTATTCTTTTCTTTTTCTTTCTTTCCCCTAATGAATTCCCAGTCCACAAATCGCGGATCACAGTATCATGAAGTTCAAATTATTGTCATTTGGATGTCGCTGATATTAAAGAACTAATCGATGCTTTGTTTCGAAATTGATCATCGGTCGAATGTCCGTTCTTTGTAGTTACGTTATACCATCTGGAATGCACTTAAAGTGGAGTAAGATTATTTTTCTTTTAGGAAACACAGTCTACACAAACGTCGTTCTGTCCTTCTTGGCATTCGATGAATAAACAAAGAGAGAACGGTATTATGTCTCCTAAAGAGAAAGCAGCCAAATATATATAATTAGATCTAATACAAGTAAAATGTCTAACATTATCTATTTTATTTTATTTCGATATAATTAGATGTCGGATAGAAGGAAAGAAAAAAAGGAAAGGTATTATGAAGAAACTCTGTCTTCTACGATAATAATATATTCTTCCTTTAATATGCATGAAGCATGTTTAAGACTACGGGTTTTGGAGATTGGGAATTGCGAATTGAAGATTAGAATTTAATCAAACGATTTGATTAAATTCGAACGATACAGATAAAACTAAACTTGTCTGATTGTCAAATTCTAATTTTCAAATCGCAATCTTCAATGCGTCTGATACAGACGTAATTCGACATATAATACATGGGTATATTTTGAAAAGAAAAGGACTTTCTCTTGTCGTTGTCTGTAAAACTCATTGAAAAATGAGTGTCAATTGCCGCAGAATGCTGTCCTCGCGTTACGTCATTTCATGCTTCTCTCCTGGTAAAAATTTTAATTTTTCTGAAGTTTTATGTAAATTTCAGAATTTTTCAGAATATCTGAATTTTAGAACTTTTTAGTTTTTTTTTTTGTACAAGTTGAAACACTTTTCAAAAAGGCCGAAAAAGTCTATACACACTTTTTTTTTAGAATTCTTTATACCTATATATGAATTCTATATAAAATATTCTAAGATTTTTAAAATTCTTATTTTAAAGTTGTTGATGAAATCTTGCAAAATTGCGTCTTCACTTTCATGATTCTTTTACAAGTTTTACACTTCATTTCTGGACTTTCAAACAGCAACTTTATCGGTGCCTCATCTTATTTTATGTATTCTGTATACAAGTGCGCAATAAAATAAAAAAAAACTTAAAAATTTTAGAATATTTCAAAATTCATATGTATGAAAAATTCTAAAAAAAAGACGTATATTTTCTAAGTATTTCTAAAAAGTGTTTCAATTCGTAAAAATTCTAAAAAAAAATTTTTTCGATATAAAAAGATCAGCTACGAGGAACGAGTCTCGAGGCACCAGGTCGCCCGGTACCGTCCCTGCCATTAATACACCCATCTCGAATCTCGATTGCGCGCGGGGCGCGGGGCCACCTTCCGCGAATCGACGGGAGGGAGTCGGGAGTACTCTCGCCGCTCTCGCGTGGTGTTTCTTCACGATGGCACGCGGGAGATCGGTCAGCGTGCGATGACACGCCCGTGCCGTCTCGCAGCGACCGTGTACGTGTAAAGTCAGTCGCGCGGTTCGCGGTGCAGTTGTACCCGTTGCGCTTTGTCTCGTCTCGTCTTGTCGCGTACGTAAGTACGTACGTACGTATGCAAGGACACGACACGCGAGTTCCCGACAAAGAAAAGGACGGGCAGAATAAATCAAGGAGTAAACGAAGCCGATGCGCCGCGGGGTGCGGATCAGCGCGGATCGCGTATTCGTGGATTCGACGTTACGTAGGACACCCTGGACACCGTGGGATATTGCGCGGCGAACGAGGTGAGAGCTGGACGACGATGCGGCACGACACGACACGATTTCGCGAGTGTGCGTGAGAGAAAGAGTGAGCGAGCGAGCGAGCTGTGTCGAGAAAGTGTATCTCAGATGGCTCAGTGTCTCTGATTCACGGAGAACCACCGGGGGAAGAAGACTCACGGGGAGGGGAGCAGAGTGAGCCGTGAGGTATTGTGGATTTGACGCATCGACACGCGCGTTATTTCATTTCTGGTCGAGGAAGACGTCCATGGACGAGGATAAGGCGTGCACTTGCACGCCGTGTCGTGACGTTGGCCGACGATCGCGCGATACGCGGCGCACTTCACGCTGATTGCGCTCGTCCGACTTTCTGTTTACGTTCCGCGACGAGGGACCAGGCGAGGCGAATCGAGAACCCGGAGGACGCGGCGTGAGAAACGCGCGTGTTTACTCTCCCTCGCGGAATCGTCTGTGCCTCCTAAAGTGCTGGACTGCTGTATTTTTGAGTCGGTTGCGGCAACGCCGTCTCGGCGCCGTGCACTCTGCCAAGATTTAATTCTGCTGTCAGCACCTGAGCCAGAGACACGAATAACCCTGCGCCGCGAAGAACAGTTAATTGGGAGTAATTAGCGCGTACTACTATCGACCATTGTTTCATTTCCTCACTCTGATTCAGACGAATGTGAATCACGTCACGATTGGATCGTTTTTGCATCGCGGCATCGACGCGAATAATCTTGACCGGTGCTGTATTCCATAACTGAAATCGTTCACTTAGGCCCAATTCCACAAATATAAGATTAACTCCTTACCTTTTTCCAATTTTAGAATTGGAGAAAGATGAACAATAAATTGAACGATTAAAGTTAATCTTACATTTGTGAAACCAGGCCTTAATTATATTAGTGCCTTAATTACGGGTTGTAATTCTCTTTTTATGTAATGACAGAGGAAGATGAGAGATTTATTTAACGCGAGTCAACTTTCTCCTTTTTGCAGGAATGATTTGTAATATAAGGATGGAATCTAACAGATTCAACGTCGCCGTCATCGACCCTGCGAGAGCGCGCTATTAATACGGTCCTGTGTGTTTTTCATCGATACTGCCCGTTGCCGCACGCTACTCCGTCGCTTCGTCGCATAACAGGCCGATCGCGCACGAGCGAAATCACGCTCTGTCCCTGAACGTGGCTAGGAGCGAAGTCCAGAGACTGGACCTTCCACTTCTCCTGGAGCAGCCCGAGGACGCGGCGGTGACGACGCACGCCCGTCCGTGACAGACTGTGACAGCGCGGTTTTATTCCGCCCTGCGTCCCGCCACCGCGGGACCATCGTGTGCGTGTGGCATTTTGTGAACTTGTGTCCAGCCACCCAGATGCCGTCTAAAGATCACCGCCGAGACTTTCGCCAACCACGTGATCGGCAAGTTTGATTTCATTTACGTTTACGTCAATGTGCAGGCCAAACTAAGTTTCTTGTCATTCATGAATTGGCAGAATTAATGACCATTCTGAAAAACTGGTTTCTCTTCTCTTGTGCTTCCTCATTCCTAATTTTGTTTGCTAATCAGAGTTTTTTTGCATATCTTAAATGTGGAAGAATATTCGGTTCTGATTTCATCTTTTTTAGAGACCTTATAACGAGCAATTTTGTCAAAACAAGAGTGAGAAAGAAGAGAGTGTATACTGTCTCTCTTTATGTATGCTATCTCATTCTAATTTATATTTACTTATCTTACTCATTCTGATATCTTACTGAAGTTCCAAAACGGCCAATTAGGAATTTGTCATCTCGTGGCCAGATTTTATTATAAAGTCTCTAATCTTTTATTATATTCGCTCATATTTAGCGTATTCCTATTTTGGTATTATATCTTAAATAATTAAATTTTAACGGAGCATGAACGAGGTAGATATAAAATTTTAAAAGAACTATCATTCGAACTATGATCCTCACTAATATAGCATTCTTACAAATCAGCATTGGTAGTTATGATAATAGCAATGATTCATCAGTTAATATGATCAAATTAAAGGCAGTGATACGACGTAGAACTAAGAGAAAAGTGCTTATACTGCACTTTCCACTGTGACTGTGGATAGAGAATAGAAAAATAGCTCTTGACACATAATATGTTTATGATCATAAAATTTTTAATATAAATATGCAACTCTATTATATTAAGTAAAGTATATATATATTAAGTAAAAAGCTTTATCTTGATATAATTTAGTTAAAAAGTTTTTAAAAACATACAGAATTTTTTATTTTAGCGAAGATATAAATAATATTTTTAATGAATTTATTTATGTATTAATGGAAAGAATTTTTCTGCAACTGAAACGTGAATATATTTCTCCTTATGTGAAGTATCCTACATTCTAAATTTAGATGCAGTCTCTGTGCTCAATGTATATTTAAAGTATAAATTAGATAATGTAACCTCTTAGGGAGAAAATTACTGCCGAAGATAGACCAATTGGGGTCCAACCGTTGTGGAGTGTTTTGTTTGTTCTGTAATTTTTTATGCTTTATGTTTTTTTTTATCCTTACGTAGTATTTATAATGCATAAATATCGATGTTAAGATAAGAAGAAAATTAGAAGTGAATGCGTACTGAAATATATAAGTTTTTGCAATTGAACTTGCTTGATTTGCCCCAATTTATTTTAAGGAAGAGTCTATGAATCATAGCAAGATAAAAAATTATCATAAGTCTGATATCGTCTATACTCTGTTGATATTAAATTTATCTAATAATATCAAGAGATAATCTCTCCGGTATAAAATAAATTTTTAATTCTTGATACTAATTATTAGAATTGTATCTTTTGCTTTTTACAGCTTAAAATGATTAAATATTAATTTATTGATTGATTCTAATAAAAGTAAATTAATAATATCAATGTAATGAAATGACCATTATTATTTTATAAGATATCATATAATATTGTACCACTTTTGTACTTTAAAGCATTCTTATATCTGTAATTTATGTACATAGGTTCAACGTGAACATATTGAAACAAAGTAGATAGATGACCTTCTTAGAACAAAGGTATGGCAAGCTTGATGGTGAACACCTCTAGTAAAAACAGTTCGCGCAGTGGATCTCCTAGTAGGACAACTTCGACGTCTCAACCGACAGCAAACTTGGATCATACTCCAAGATTGCGTAATGCTCCAATGTAAGATTCTATTAGTATAATAGACATACATATAATTTACTATTATTGCATGTCATTTAATATTCAATTTCTTCAATTTCTCATACAAAATCTATTTACATATGTATATATGTATAACTTATTTATCTATTAACTTATTTTACTATTATGTTTATTATGATATTCCCAATTTTAAAATTTGTTAAATAAAATTTAATTTTTAAACAGATTTAATTTGTTTAAAAATTAAAGAAATTATAATAATAAATAAACATTTGTTAAATATTTGTTTCAGTTCTCAAGGAGAGGGTAGCACTGGCAGTGGAAGTAGTGGTGGTGGTGGTACCGGAAGTAGCCTCAACATGAGAGGCAGCAATAGACAAAGGTCACCAGGAAATTTAATCCGTACGGGGGATGCCATGGATGAACCAAGTAGTACTTCAAACACTGCCGAACCAGACGAATTTGTGCCAAATGTTCATCCACCGACTGATGACGAAGGAGTATGTATTTCTGACTCATTTTAAATATCGAGTTTAATAAGGTATAAGATAATAAGTGTCCTGCATCAAAAACAGCAAGATTGTTACTTTACCTGAATCTAATGTGTATATGCAATCTACAGCACGTCTTTGTGCTCTTACATAAAGAGAGTTACATAATATTGCTATTGTGTATACGTTAACTAACACAGTAAGTTGCAAAGTCATCAATCACTAATATATAGTCAAATTATGAATTTAAAAATAGTATAATTATGCGCATATTTTAAATGATTATATTAATTTCGTCTCCATTTTTAGACCCTTTAGCCGATAAATAAATTTAAAGATCTTACAATTCTCTACAAAAAACAACAGAATAAATTGTTTTTGATATATTTAAACTGCATTATTTATTTATTTATTTATTGTCTTTAATTCTGTAGTCAATGTTATGGTTTATATATTTATATTTTTTTGTATAACTTTGAATGAAAAATGTCATTGTATTTTTATAGGAACAATACCACACAACCCAATCGTTCCTATCAAATGGTTCTTCTGAGTTGATAAGCGATGATGTCGACTCTAGTGCAGCACGAGTTCGTCAAGCTATTGAACATATTCAAAGCAAAATTGCTAAAACGCGAGAACAGATAAGAATAGAACAAACCACGCGGGATGGTAATATAAAGTTTTTTAAATTTAGTTAAGATAGATACACACACAAACAAAATGTCGTTATATATGTTATTTGCTCTTTAGAAAACGTCAATGAATATTTGAAATTGGCTGCTAATGCAGACAAGCAGCAATTAACTAGGATTAAAACGGTATTCGAAAAGAAGAATCAAAAATCGGCGCACAGTATTTCACAATTACAAAAAAAGTTAGACAGCTACACAAAAAAATTACGAAATTATGAGATGAATGGTGCACCGACGAGTCATAGACAACCGAGAGAAATGTTACGCGACATGGGACAAGGACTTAAGTGAGTTATACATAAAAGATTTTTTTAATTGTATTCATATCTAGAGAAAAATGTTTAAACTTGTTACTGAATAAGGCCCATATAAACTATATACATATATTATTTGATAAGCGTTGAAAGCAATATCTTTGGCTAATTTGGGATTGTATTCCAGACATGTAGGAGGAAACATCAGGGATGGAATCACTGGTTTTTCAGGGTGAGTGTATACGAAAATAGATCCCATGCTCAAATATGCTGAAAATCTATTCTTATGTGGTTGATTCATCACTTCTTTTTAGAACCGCACTGCCATTAATATCCTTCCAATTTAAAATTAACACAGAATATGCTTTCTTAATTATTTACGAGAAATTATTTTTAAAAGTATAGTTAAGCAAAACGTTATATGCTTACTTATGTTTAATCATATTCTATTGCAGAACTGTAATGTCTAAACCAAGAGAGTTTGCTCATCTTATTAAAAACAAATTTGGAAGTGCCGATAATATAAATACTTTATCACGTAAGTAACAGTGTCTCAATAAATTTCCAATAAATTTTACATGATTCAAGCTGAAGTATAACATGTTACATTACCTGGTTAAAACCACAATTTAAATTGATTTAAATTAATAAATGCAATTTATTTAAATGCAAAGAAAATAAAGTTGTATAATTCTTATAGTGTGATTCAGATAATTTATTCTTGTCATTTCCATTTATTTAAAAATATAAAATATATTTAGATAAGAAAATAAATATCTTTTAACGTTTTTGCTATCATGGCAGTTGAGAGTAGTAAGTAATGTGTTGTCCAAAGAGCGAGAGTTACACTACACTTTATTATATGCTTCATGCACAATATTCTTATTTTTTTGACTGCTTCAAGCTTCTATCTTCTTTACAAAGAAGTGATTAATGATAATACATTATTGTTTGTAAAGTATGATTAAAAATTAGTTTGCTTGTATACTATATATTCTTTGCTTTCAATTTTGCTTATTAAACTTCTATTTTATTTTTTAATGCAGAACAATTACTCGATATAATTTTATCACACGTTATGTTGCTTATATTTATTTAACATTATATTATTATGTAGCAAAGTATTAGATGATTTACGATGGCTTCTATAATTACACATTTGCCTTTCTTTATTTACTGTCAGTTATCCAATACTCTCTTGTAATGATGCTAAAATATATAATAACCAATTGTGGGTTTTATTATTATCACGATTTTAAAAATGCATTTTATATTGTGAAACGATTGACCTTTTCAAAAATAAAAAAAGGTGCAAAACATCTAAAATAAAACAGGAACAGGACTTAACTATTGTTTGAGGAAACTGAATAACATACTAACTTGAAAAATAATATTACTTCAAAAGGCCAAGCTTTGGTATTGGATAACATTCTAACTTGCCACCTCTGTGTCTCTACAGATGGCTCGACTTTTTATGTAAACGATACACCGCATGCAGGTAATGGTGATAACGCTAGCGTTGAAGATGATAAAACTCACCATGGATCGGCTACACTTCCGGGTGGATGCAGTCTAGGATCTACCCAAAGTGCAGCGGCTATGAAGTTTCCGTCTGAGGAAGGATCGGAGTGTTCTAGCGTAACTAGTGAAAGCGGTCCTGGTAGTAGAGGACAGCCGCATACATGTCACAGTAATAATGCAGCCTTGAGTCTCAAATCTATTTTTGCAGAACTACAGGAACACCGGGAGAATCTTGATCGAATGAGAGAAAAATTAGATAGTGTAAAGGTTTGCATTTAATTTTATTTAAATGTATCCGATAATCCAAATTAAAATATATTTTCTAAAAAAAAATTACCTGCATACGACTGTTTTCACAAATGTTTGACTAAAACTTTTTTTTTAAGACATTACAGCAGGAAGTGACATATCTTTCTCATTCCCTCCAAGAAGAACGTTTCAGATGCGAACGTTTAGAAGAACAGATTAATGATTTAACAGAATTGCATCAGAACGAAGTGGAAAACTTGAAGCAAACTATTACAGATATGGAGGAGAAAGTGCAATATCAAAGCGAAGATAGATTACGAGATATACATGAGATGTTAGAAAGTTGTCAAACTAAAATTTGTAAAATGGAACATCAACAACAACAGCATCAACAATATGTGACATTGGAGGGTTTAGATAATAGCAATGCGAGAGCATTCGCTGTAAAATTGATAAATGTAGTATTGACAGTATTGCAAGTTGTTTTGCTCCTTGTTGCAACGGGTGCTGGTATTATGATGCCTTTTCTCAGAACTAGGTAAGATTATTGCTGAGATATCTTTTGCCCTTTTATTCTTTTGATATCACTTTTTTGTTTTACTTTCCGCGTTTTAGAGACATTAATGAACCATTTATACTTTTATTCTCTATCATATCTATATTGATCTCTGTTAAATATCAATAGATTTCTATGCAATGTAAGTAGAAAGTTAAAATGTAATTGTGCAATAATAGATATCGTTTTTATGTATTAGTAAATAATTTATGTATTTCTTTTATTCATCTTCATATTATAATCTATCGTACTGCAATCATCTAAATTTATTTTGCACATTCATTATTTTGTTTTGTTTTCACATGTCTGTTACAGCTGTACTAAGCCTCATTGTTTCATGTGCAGGGTGCGTATATTAACGACTACATTCGTTGTACTGGGCATAGTGTTTGTGTTAAAGCAATGGCCTGAGGTACATGACGTTGGCAGCCATCTCATACGCCATCTCAAACAGACGCTCGCCATGAAGTAGTATTGTAAGTGAATGAAATTTTCACTTGGTGCTTAATTGCCGTTAACATGTAGAGGCAATGTAATGTGGTATTATATTTTATAAAAAGTGAATAAAATAAAAGTTCCTAAATAACTTGTCTCAGAGAGAAAGAGAGAGAGAGAGAGAGAGAGAGAGAGAGAGAGAGAGAGAGAGGAGAGAATGAGAAAAAATATTTTATGTAAACAGTATTTATTTTAGGGTGGAATACTTAAATTTAATCAAACCCTGTGATGAAGCTGGGCTAGATTGGACACATTGATTGAAACCTTGCATCCATTTATCAGTGTTGTAACACATTGGAGCAATAATAGTATGTATACGCGTAAATAAGTTTATCTTATATTTTGGGTTGTTTAAATTTATCATTATAATATATATGTATTTTTGATACTATTATTTAAATTGACGAAGCTATTTTGCTGTAGGAAAATATGTGATTTTCAAATTAATTTGTACAAACTTTCATTAATTTCATATAATTTATATCTCTTCATTTTTGGTAAGACTTTATTTTTCACGATCGTGTCATTAGCGATCTACTAGTGCTGAAACAAATGATACTAAAGAAGCTTCTATATTAAGACACAAAGAATTGTTGAAATACTACACAATGACACTGCTTGATTGTATATATAGCACATTATTATGGAAATTTAATTTCAATTAGGGTATCTAATTTCTTTGATCAAATGTAAAAGTAGTAAAAAAAATATTGAGTGAAAAAGTGATGCACACCAGGATATTGTCTTCAACCTCCATCATCGGTCCAGTTACAATTTGTCGATGTATAATCGATTTATTTTAAATCTTTTGGGATGTATGTGTTGATAAATCAAGAATTTATAACATCCAAATCGTCCAAATGCTAAACAATAATGTAAGTTAAGACAGAGCTCTTATATCACTACAGATAGCTGCTGTCCGGCATTGTATAAAGTATGAGGTAGTGCGTACTGTATATTTACTTGTTATTTGTAATATCCGATAAAAGTATAAGTTCTCTAGAAAATGCAAGCTTTTTTAATTGTTGTTGCATTGTATAAAATAGCTAGTATATAAATTGAGTCACGCATGCAATGAAAGAGAAATGAAGAATTTCACTGAAGACTGGAAGAAACATCTCTCGTTGAAAGATTTTTGAAAAATCGTGAGTACTAAATTTGAACATAAATGAAAATGTTACACACATATACATGTGCTGCTACATCCGATATCAAAGGAGGACCAACCGTCTCTTTCCTCTTATCCTATGATACGATTTACATCGTACATATTATACATATAACGTTAAAATTATAATAATAAAGACGAGAGTGATTTTCATTAATCCAGTGAGTGATCTAATCATCAAAAAATCATAAATTTGCATGTATATTATAACAAGTATAAAGAATTGATCCATGACAGTTAGTTGAAATGAGAGAAAGACTGAAGGACTACATTGCTGTATAATTATGTTTACTTTAATATTGGCGCTTTAATTTTAAGTGTTTAGTAACTGGAAATTATAACATTGATATAAGATATAATACAAATTTATGGAAATGAGAAGTATTTGATACATCGCAAAAATAAAACGAGTTAAAATAACAGCAGCATTCAGAAATAAGACTTAGCACCTGATTTGTGTTTCGTTTTGTATCGTTACTATTTGATAACAGAGCATAAAAATGACTTTCATATTCACTATCTTACAATACAATTTTCTAATTTTTACAGTCAGGATGATTCATGTCTGAGCACCATTATTACTCAAAGCAAATGCAGCACGATATAAGTTAAACAATAAACTGTACAAATATGAAGATTTTTATCTTATTTAAATCATTATCGTCGTACTGCTTTCGTTTTGCACAGAAATTTCAATGTTAATTTTTATTTTACGCTATATGTGTACAACAAAGTAATAGTAACAATAGCTTATAATTAATAGTTCGGTATCTGTGTCAGTTTACTGACATGTAACGTAGCATGTAACAGCGGAAATCTATTCAGAATTTTATTTAAAAGCTACCAGTAATTGTGTACAAAAGAAATAATTTAATGCGTCTCGCTGTGTCAAATTTTATGTTGACAATGTATGTTGTAAAATTTTGTATTGATTTAGAAGCTTGCAATGTAAAGGATAAGAAAGTCTGGCAATTGAATAGCAATTCATTGCATGAAAATTGAAGGCGTGATAAGGTAATTTTATGCTATTGCGAAGAGATATTCAATTCATTCCTGATCTCAAAGATCGCAAATGAAAATTGGATTGTATATTCAACACACCAGAAATATTCATTTTCTCGATGTCAATTGACTATCCAATAAATTCTCACATTTACATTATCTGCATGGTATTACTTTAAGCAGTTAAATAATCGATTCCTTCCTCTTTACAAAAGTTTGAATATTTTCAATATTATTTTTCATGTTCCTGTGGTAAATATTACATTTCGGATAAATCGCTGTGATTATGCTAGGTTTATATATAAGCTTAATATTTAAGAAGCAGCTTTGGGATCAATATAATCACAACCGAAAAATACCACAAAAAAAAACGTATATGTTGTATATATAGAAATTTTTCTTAAAAACCATGCACCATCCATTACATGTGTAACATTTGAAGCAAATGAAAACGTATTGGTTTAACCGAATATCTCCGTTAATATCTTTTTTGTTATGTAAAATACATGTCTAATCTAAGATGTAATTCTATTTAATCTTACATAATCATAAGTAGTCAAAATATATATATAGGGTGTTAATTACATACATTAATGTATATAGCGTTGTCTTATATTTGTAAAAATTTTATCATTGTGACAACATTTTGACTGTATTTTATTGGTTCTCTGTTTATATATAATTTCTCTTTAAAAAAATACATAAAAATGGATATTAATTCCTTTCCATTATATCATTATATGCTACATGAAACACACCCTGTATATTTATAATTTTAGATCATGGTGCTTTGTAATATACGTATTTAACACTGCTAGGAAATTAGAAAATTTATTCATATGAGCGACCACCGATTTACTGTGGGCCCCTGCACGCTTACAAAATATCGAGCGATACGTACAGAAGGAAAACCGTATTAAAGTAGTAAATAGTGCTCCAAATCGAAATTCTAAGGGAGTTATTAAACAACGACGAATGTATTTTGTACCTTATTAAAACGTTGCATAAGTTTCTGTTTTTCTACTTAACAAGACGTTTACAATTTTATATGTATTTTATATTTACGAAACCACGACGTGTCACATAAATGTATACTGTATAATTTGCGTCATCAATTGATGAATCCTGTTAAATAGTTTGTTGTTATCCGTAGCTTAGGGGCCCCATATGTAGATATAGTGATAGGCGACAGAATTATTAAATAAATTATGTCATCGATGCCTTGCATAGGTAGTTAATGTCAAATTATAGAATAAATATTCGTTGTCAATTGTAGAACGATATAGGCAAAGCCAGCAGCAATTATTGTAAAGGTTGTTATCGCGTACTCATTGTGCATATACAACAGCTGCGTTCAACTGGTACACACACACACACACACACATACATACACACACATATATATATATATATATTCAAGGTAATAAAAAGAATATTTGAAAAAAGAAAACTGAACATATATAAATTTATATATTCATCTTTCGATACGCTGATACTTATTTCTACATGCGCATTGTCAACGACAATGTTGTTGCTGCTGGTAGAGTCAACTGAGGTACGTAATGAGCAGCCTCTTCTGCAATATTATTTCATATTGTCAAAATAAAGCGAATTTTCAGTAAACTCAATTACATTCAATTCCACTTGACCTAATTAATGAATTTTGTTTGAATATTAATGAGTTTCGAGGATGATCTTAGCCGTGAGAGAAACTCAATGTAATTTCCAGAGTACATTTAAAAACATACGGCCAACTAAAAACGCACGTCGGTGTGAAGCTTTTTTATATTTTCTTCAAAGATTTTTTGCTAATAATAATATGACATTCGTCACAATCTTACAAATATAACATTCAATTATTTTATCATATCACAATTTCTACTTTGTGTAATGCAGAAAGCTGATTTACTGAGACGTTTCCTGGTAGTTGTATAAAAATATACAATTGTTCATGATAATTATATCTATATTCTCTTGGATTATTTTAGAATTCAGAAAGTATTTGATTACAAAAGCATTGTTATCATTGAATAGCGTTTCGTTATAAAGGCGTATCAGCCTTCGATTTATTAAATATTATTTTACTATTCAATAATAATGAATAGATATAGTAGTAAATACTTATTTACTCTATTATATCTATAACAAAATATTTTGTTTTACAACTTTTTTTATGATAGGTAAAGATTCAGGAATATACAGTCTGTTCAATAAGAGCGAACGGTTCCGCACTTCATTAATAGATGACGTACAGATGTTAAGTTTGGTTTTTTCGATTCTCTGAACAGTTCGGAAGAATGCTTTGAGATCATATGGGTAGTGTGACTTGTTTTGACTGTAACAGAGCAAATAACCACAATGAGTGCTGCGTATGCAAGTCGTTTTGAAGCAGTGTTCCTTTGCACATCCGAAAGGACCGAAAATGTATGCAGCTGCCGGGCGCTACATGAAAAAGTCAGAAGGATTCGTCAGGAAGTGGGTGAAACGTTACAACGAAACAAAAAATGTCGACGACCTGCCGGAACGTGGCACCCGACGGTCAACGACGAAAAAGGACGACAAAGCTATCATCAAGATATTTGAGAAGAATCCTGGGTGTTCATTACGACGAGCGAAAAATCTTTTATTGAAAAAGGGTATAGATGTGAGCCTTAATATTATTAGACAACGATTGCTTGATTCCGAATACGGTTGACGATCTAAAGAGAAACAGCCCGTACGTTCTTATTGAACAGACTATCAAAAATGTAATAGAAAATTTTCTGATGCGCAAATATGTATGTATGTGAACGGAATAAGAAAAATCATACATTTTATACAATCTTAAATATTCGATCGTTAATACATTTTTATGTTCTTACATTTTGTTAAAACTTATTGTTTAAATCAAAATCAAGTACGTAAATGATACTTTATATTATCATCATTACCTGAAGTCCATGTTGTTCGATAATGCTGTTGAATTTATATCCTATAATACGCGATTGTATATATAACGCAATTATATATATATATAAAACTTAAACGAATTTATTATATATATTAAATCCATTTATATACCGTAAACTACAAAAATGGATAATAAAACAAGTTATCTTTTCATTATTATTAAAGTAATGATAAGTCATAACCTTTTAAAATTTGTTATATCTTTCGAAAAAAGTAAAATA